ATATATTAGGTATATATTCAATTTTATCACTCTGTAACTCAACACTTTTTTAAATACAATAACTTAATTCCATTTTATTTCTCATTATAACTATTCTAATTAACTCAATCACTCAATTTTTTCTAAATGTAAAGTTTCTAACTACTATTTCAGATTCCTTTATTTTTCTTTACCTTTACCACACCCAGCTGTGTGAGTCATATTTCTATTGCTGGGACAAAATATGTGAGAAAAACAACTTAGGAGGAAAGATTTATTTGAGGTCATGGTTTCAGAGGTTTCAGTTCATAGTCTGTTGGCTCCAAGGCAGAAACATGGCAGAGACAGAGGAAGAGCAAAGGGTCAGGGACAAGATTTACCCTTCCAGGACATGCCCCCAGTGACCTACTTCTTACAACAGGATCCACCTCTTAATAGTTTATCCCATTTCCAAATAATAACATCAAATTAGTCCATCAATGGAATTATCTGATGAGGTCAGAGCCCTCATAATTCCATCACTTTTCAAGAGCCCTACCTTCAAACACTGCTGCTTGGGGGACTAAGCCTTCAATGCATGAGACTTCGGAGGAATTACAGATCTAAGTTATAACAGCAGCCTTCAAAAGGTGGTGAATTAAAACATATTATGATATATTAGTTGTAATACCTTTATTAATTATTATGGGGAATAAGCACAGGCAACATCCAAATATGCCACTTTGGCATAAGGATTATTTTGAGGTAAGCCAAACAAGAATCAACAGATGCCGAAAACTTCCCTCATCTGACCAAAAGCAAACTTGTGAGAAATAACTGCTGAGCATCCCCTCTGCTTGATGGCCATGAAGAGGACAAAAGTCAGCACAGAGACAGACAGACATGGAAAGAAACTATATTCCACGAGTTTCCATTACTCCAGTAACCCAGTAGTCTCACACCCCAGTAGTCTATTATTGTTCTTTTCTCAAGATTAAGCCCCAGTTCTAATCTCCCTGTATTAGTCAGGGTTCTCTAGAGGAACAGAATCAACAGGAAGTATGATTATAAAAAGGGGATTTATTCGGTTGGCTTATGCAACCAGAAGCTGGAAAACCCACAATGGCCGTTGCAGGCTGGAGACTTGGAAGAACCAGTAGCTGTGCTGTCCAAGAGGCAGAAGCCCAGAACAAGAGGGATCAACAGTACTAGCCTAGTTTAAGACCAAAGGCTTCTGGAAACTCCCTAGAGAATCGCTGGCAAAGTCCACTTTGGAAGAGTGAAGAAGTGAGAGTCTGATATTCTCAGACGATGGAAAGAGCAACCAAGAACCCGTTCATGAAGAATCAGGCTTGCATCTGCTGCTGTTTCCTTGTTCTTCCAACTTTTCTTCCATCCAAGCCATCATCCTAATGGATGGTGCTGTCCATGCTTAGGGGTGGGGGTCTTCACTTCAGTTGGCTATCCCACATGCAGTCATTCCTAGACTCATCCCTCATTGACACACCCATAAGCCTGTTAATCCTACGCATCTTTTCATCCAATCAAGTTGACCATTCAAATTGGCCACTAAACTCTCCTTTCAGTTATTCATCAGTGCTAGCCCTAATTCTAGGGCATCTTTCTTGGGAATCTGAAGCAGGAAATGAGGATAAGGAGGCTTTACTCTTAAAACATCCCCACTGAACCATAGTCTTCAAGTACATATCTTTAGGGGTGTTATGGTTTGGATGTGAGGTGTCCTACGAAAGATCACATGTGAGACAATGCAAGAAAGTTTAGAACAGAAATGATGGGGTTATGAGCATCTTAAATCCAATCAGTGAATTAATCCCCTGGTGGGGATTAACTGAGTGGTAACTGAAGGTAGGTAGGGTGTGGCTGGAGAAGGTGGGCATTGGGGGATGTGGCTTTGGGGTATATATTTTGTATCTGGTGAATGGAGACCTCTCTCTCTCTGCTTTCTGATCATCATGTGAGCTGCTTCCCTCTGCTTCCATGGTGTCCCACCTCACTTGGAGCTTGGAGAAATGGAGGCTGCTGTCTAATGGACTGAGACCTCTAAAATCATGAGCCCCTAAATAAACTCTTCCTCCTCCACACTGTTCTGGTCAGAACCTTTAGTCACAGCAGAGAAAAAGCTGACTAAAACAAGTGGGGGGAGAACTAGATTTTACCTCAGTTCAGAAAAATACTAGCTGGAAATTAGATGGGCAATATGGTTTTGTACAACTCAGACATAATTATATTCAGCACCAGACTACGTGGAATAAGAAATGAAATCCAGCAGAGATACCGATATAACCAAAGAGACTTGTAGGCCCCATAAGAAATATATACCACACATAAAAGAGGCCCAATGGGCAAATACCTTACTTTATGAGCCAACCCACTCCTGGATACATATGTGTTAATAAAGATATACCATATGTTGGAAGCATGACTTCCGAATTTTTCCTGATAAAATATTTGAATGTTGACTTCCAAGAGATAGATATAATTGTTCCCCCCTTGGATGGAAATGAAACTCAAATATGTGGTCTTGATTATCATATGGAATAGAGAATTGACAGATTAAAGACATTATATTTCTGCCAAGATGATTGTACTTTCTTCATTTTAAAAAAGTAATTATTTTTCCATTCACTTCTCCAGCTGATGGATAGATAAAAATGGCACTTGGATTTCCAAGACCTCTTGGCAGGAGATGTTTGGTGTAAGAATTCAGTGTTTTAGATTGGTTTGTGCTCATTTTTATGAACTAGGAGGAGGAAAAATAAAATTTCCACATATATCAGATTCATAGACTAAAGAAACACAACCTATGAACACATGGAAATAACTGGTTATTTTATTTCTTCTTTATGCCTCTGGAACACACAAGTGGGTGGCCAATCCCAAGGGAATGTGGTCTTGGAATGTTTTCATCGCATCCTCCTCTGGTTAGCTGGAGTCTGGGGGTACATTGGGGGACTCGACTCAGAAAGGACAATAACCTGATTAAAACACAAGATCACTTTCTATATCGTATTCCAACCTAGGATTATTTTTATTTCTCTTCTTCATATTAATCTTACAATTATTTTTGTGTGGCTACTGAAAGGATGCTGTGAAGACTGTCAGAATCAAAATGAAGTCACTTACATCAAACTTGAAGAAAACAGAGTCAGGTGGACATGAAGCCTTTGAAGATCCTGACACATATTTGCTTGATACAAGAACCATCACAAAAGACTTCTAAGATCATATCCTTGGACAAAGTCTGCCACAACTTTGCACACACACACACAAAATACTTCTACAAAGATGCTTACCTAGCAACTGCCCCTTTGACCTTGAACTGACACCCCCTTATTATCAATCATTACAGCCCAAGGACATTGTTTCAAAACAACTTATGTAACCTTATGCTACCTTTAAAAACTCTTTCTTCTTTTGTCTCCTTGAATATTCCCATTGTTTACCATGGTACTTGTGTCACAGACTACAATCATTCTTGAATAAAATAATTGTTTTGGAGAGCCAGTCTCTGCCACTCATTTTAGGTGGACATGCTGTTTTCTGACAAGCATTTGTTAAAATGCCTTTTTCCAGTGTGTTTAGCTTTTGTAATTTTTAAAAAAATATTTGTTTTAGCTATAGGTGTACGCAATAACCTTTATTTTATTTTTATGTAGTGCTGAGGATTAAACCCAGAGACTCACATGTGCTAGGCGAACGCTTTATCACTGAGCCACAATCCCAGTCCCTGTAATGTTTCTGATAAAAGAGAACTTGAAATTTAGTAGTCCTCTTGCCTTCCCATACCTAGTCTTCGGTTCCTACCATTCCTTTCATGTGAATGGGTCTGTGTAATCTGTCCTGCTCAATGAACTAGCATGTAGAGTGTGCCACTTCTGCCAAAGCACACAGAGACTGTGAGTAGTTTATGTAGTTTATTTTTTAAAGCTTTCATACACACACACACACACACACACACACATATTTTTTTTGTACTGCGGATTGAACTTAGGGTACTTGATCACTGAGGCACATCCCCAGCCCTATTTTGTATTTTATTTAGAGACAGGGTCTCACTGAGTGACTTAACTCCTTACTTTTGCTGAGTCTGGCTTTGAACTCACCATTCTCCTGCTTCAGCCTCCCAAGCCACTGGGATGACAGGCATGCACCACCAAGCCCAGCTCTTATATATATTTTTAATATATATTTTAGTTGTAGATGATCTTTGTTTATTTTTATGTGGTTCTGAGATCAAACCCAGGGCCTCATATGTGCTAGGCAAGTACTCTACCACTGAGCTATAACCTCAGCCCCTAAATTTATATATATTTAATTTTTGGTGGACACAACATCTTTATTTTATTTTTATGTGGTGCTGAGGATCGAACCCAGCGCCCCGTGCATGCCAGGAGAGCACACTACCACTGGAGCCACATCCCCAGCCTATTTTCTTATACTTTTCAAGCAGGATGTCATTCTATTGCATGGGCTGACCTCAAACTCCTATGCTCGAGACCCTCCTGCCTCAGCTTCCTAAGCAGCTGGAACTACAAACTCACACCCCTACATTCAGCTGTAAAACTTCTCATCATCAAAATGGCAGAAAGTGGTAGTACCTTAACCTGAATGATCAAGGTGAGCAGAATTTCTCTACTAACCCGCATGGATCACATGGCATTTAGAAGAAACAAGCCTTCTTTTATTTTAAGCCCTTGTGATTTAGAGAGTTTCTATAACATAAACCAGTTTTCTTAACTAAAGCAATAATACCCAAGTGCATTCTAAATCCTAAGTGGACTGTTTGATAGTTGTACAAGAATGTTAAAGACATATTTGGGGAAGCTGGTTGAGGTTCTGTACAGATGAAGAATGATTTAACATGTGTAAATGTCATGTAACATATATAATATTTTCACATAACATAGTGTTAGGAGCTAAGTACTAGATCATAGAAATGAAAGGTGCCTACATCTTCCCTCCTCCATTAGCAACTTTTTCAGGAGGAAAGGGTATATATAAACAAAACAATATAAAAAGTATCCAATAAGAAGCAAAAAAAAATTAATTTTATTGAATAGAGGGTTTACAATGATCATAAGAATATTTTAGACTATAACAGCTGAAAGATCAATAGCTGATTGGAAGTAAGAGAGGAGGCAGTTTAAATTTTCAACATAAAAAAAAAAAATTCTAATTGCTACGCTTCTTGTAAAATTCCCAAAACAAGTTCAAGCCATGTTTACTGTTTAGTGATTTTGTTTAAAAGGGATGAAAAGTGAGAATCAATGTGTATACTGGTTACAACTAATATAACAGCTTGAAAAAATCATGAGACAGAGCATAAATATAATATAAAAAGACAAGATTTTAAAATTGTATTATAGGAATCTTAACTATTACAAGTGGAAAAGATACATTAAAACCAGCAGTGTGTTACACTAGTTCAAAACAGAACTTGTAAGGCAGACCAAAACTGACGCAAGTTAAGGAAATTGGTCTGTTTTTAGGAAGCACATCCAGACAGATACAACCACAAAGAAATGCCAACAGTGACGACTATGTGGTCCCCTCTGTGAGTTGGTGAAGCATCAAAGGTGGAGCAACTGGGTTAACACTTAGGCTTTCTCCAGGGATTTGTAGTATTCCATCAGCACGGTCCAGGCCTTGGGCGCCATGAACCCTTCAGGAGGCTTCTGGCCTTCTCGGGCAAGTTTGCGCATTCGAGTTCCTGAAATAAATTCAAAGTCTTCATGGCTGAAAGATAGAGTCAAGTGAAAATTATTTCACATTTTTTTTAGAAAGCAATTGTGAAAAAATTTAAAGCATTTATTCTTTCTGTTTATATTAGACTACTAGACAAGGTTAATATGAATCTGATTTCAAATTTGTCATTAAGCAAAATATACTGCACTACTGAGTATTATTCAGTTTTAGAACTAGGAAAATTTTAATTGAAATTTTTATTGTGATCATTGTAGATTCTTATGAAATTGTAAGAATAATATATCGAAATTCTGTGTCGAGAGGCCCAATGTAACTTCTCCCAATAGTAACATCTTGTGATATTACAGCATCAATATCACAACCGGTAGGGCAGCACGGAAGCGAGCTACCTACCACTCTTACTCAGATTTCCTCAGCCTCCCTTGCACTCATTTCCCAGTGTGTGCATTCGGTTCTGTGTAATTTTATCACATGTGCACATTCATGTATCCACCACAGTGAAGCTGCAGAACAGTTCCAAATCATGAGGATCCCATTTTTGATTCAATATAGATTCAATCAATTTTACTGAATTAATACAGAACACTTCACCTCCCTTAATGAGTCATGCTCTTCCTACTAGCAATTAAGAGATCATGATGAAGGGCATATAGAATCCTCTAGTGTGCCACTAATCCAGAACCACAGCATTCAGAAACCTATCTCTAATAGCCCTTTAAGGTCTGTCTGCTCTCTGACCTTGCTCACCTCCTCTATAGTCAGGGGAATCTGAAAGTCCCCTTCCTAGACTGGTTCTTTAGTGTATCTATGAGCACTCAGACTGGCCATTCTCTGGGAATGCACTCCAGGCCAAGAAAGAGGTACCAGAGTTTCCTCTGTGATCCATACTGCATGTCTGGCTTCTGGACTGTTCTGCTTTTCTGACTTTTGTTTTCTGTGTACCCAATGACCCCATTTGCTCAGAGGGTTTGGAAGCCTTGGGTGTGATTTTATTACCACCAGTTTATAAGCACCTCTCCCACCTAGCTGGTCCACCTTTATAACTGACCACTACTGTCAGTTCCTCAGATCAATCTGAATCTTGCCTCCAGATGTAGTTCTACCTTAGATTTGTTGCTAGCCTGTTCAATTGCATTGAAGTAGTGAGATATAATGAACATTCCACTCCTCTTTGAATTATATTTAAGAGTTTTATTCTGGAATACTATACAGAGTATATGAATATAAAACAGTGCAACTCATTAAATAAATCACAGGAAATCAATGTCAATGCTTTATAAATCCCATCTCTACCTACTAAGCAGAAAGGCACTACTTCAATTCAGACACAAAACATCTCCCAGTCATCCCATCTGCTCTTCCTATTTCCCTGAACTACCAGAAAGACAGGAAGATAAATAAGCATGTACATTCAACTTAATATTTTAACAGATTCCCCCACCCAAACCCTGCCACCTCCTTCCTGGATGCCATGGAGTTGAGCAGCACTGCTCTTCCACACGCTTCTACCATGTTCCGTCTCACCTCAGGCCTACAGCTATGGAGCCAGATGACCATGGACTGAACTTCTGAAACCATAGCCCAAATAAACTTCCCTCCTCTATGTTGTTCTTGTCAGGTATTTTGGTCACAGAGAGATAAAGCTGTCTAACAAAGTATCTAAAAATGCTTACTCCAACTTGATGTAAAATTGGTTAGTTTAGCTGAGAACCATCCAACAAAATATTGGTTGAGTACTTCAGATACCTCAGGAGATCCACTTATCAGCTCCCTAAACAAACTTCACTGAGGAAAACTGTGATTCTGGAGCTTTCTGGACATGCAAACTTGAAACTTCAGTTTCAAAAATGAAAAACTCATGTCATGTGAATCAAGTGCTTGTTCTTGATGGCAGTAATAAAGAAGTAAGAGAGCAGCTTGCTGGATGATTCTGCCTGAACTTTGATTAAAGGAAAAAGCCAGACCAATTAAAGTCCTTTCTTTCCCCATAATGCCAAACTGTCTGAAATCCAGAACTTTTCTTGCATTCCTTCTGAAATTGCATTTTTAAACCAAGGTCCCTGGGTACCTCTTTTCCTGAAGCTATTTCACACTCCATCTGCCCCGCATGCCACAAGCATTTCTTCATCACATGAAATGGGAGTTCCTGCTTCCACATGGTGGTGGTTCCACTCCACCCTGGCTACGGAAAACACATTTCCCTCTGCCTCAAACTTGTATGTCTATCTCTGTTACATAAGGACTTTATTTTTACCAGAGCCAGGTTCAAGGTCTTGACATGAGTCACTATAAAATTAAATCATATCTTCACAAGGAGTCCAGACATCATTCTGCAGAAATCATTCCATCAAATAAAAACTGAGGCATTTGGGGAATCATCTAAATATAACTATAAATTTTACCTATAAGTATTCGTGAATCTGCAGAAACACAAAAGACTGCCAAATAAAGGACCTGGGCTTTCCCTACAGAGCAATTCTAACTAGGGCCATTTCATTCTACCGAGTTAACCAATCTCCCATGGCACCTGGAAAAAGAAACACAAATATGTTTGGTTTTTTCCCTTTCCAAAACCACTCAGTTACAGATTCCTATAATCTACAGCAGACAAAGGCTGGGTCTTAACAAAACAAAGGGGAAGGGGCAGAACAGCAGGAAGGAAAATAACACACCAGCAAGCAACCTACACGGGACCCTTAATAACACATACCAGCCACATGTGGCCAGCATCTTGATGAACTCCAAAGTACAATGACTCTTGGCCACTTGCTGACAATTTTAAATCTTTACAACCATCTGCTGTCCCTCAGTCCACATATGTGGCCAACAGAGCCACTGGCACAAGTTATTCACACGGACTGAAGATGGGGTCAGCAGATGGCCCTTCATCTTTTGAAGGTTACATTCAATTAACCCAGCTTTCTAAGGTTGCTAACTAGACAATAAGTGATTCAGAGAAGGAAAAGGATATTTTTTTCTTTGATAGAACTCAAACTACTGGTGGTAACTTACAAGTGAACCTAATTATTTTGGATCTAATTAACTTTTCATCTAACTTGAAAGCAGTTCATTTATAATACATCAAAACACTAAAAATTCTTGAGACAGAGATTAAAAATGATTGCTTCAAAACCAGATAAATGCCTATTTATAGCTTTCTTTCAGAGACTACAAAGCCCTGGCTGACGTCATACATGACAATTTTAACAATTACTGTTTTTTAATCAAAGACCAACAGAAATGTTTGGAAAACTTAATTATCTATAATCTAATTGAGCAAATTCCTTAATTTTTTATGTTCTTCCTCCAAGCACCTCAGCCATAAAGGCTATAAAATAGCTTCCATCAGATAGTCAGTCAATAATGAATACCTAGGGCCATCCTAAAATATGTTGTAGAATCAGCTCAATTTTCTTGACCATAAAGTGTCATGAAATCTATAACCTACCATAGAATAGATCAGATTTTTAACTGAGTGGCAATAGACAAGTTTTGAAAGCACCCAGAAAAATATTTTGATGTAGAAAATTTGAGGTTTCTGTGCTTCCAACTGGGACAGGTTGCATTGTTATTCACCTACTTCTAGAGGCTCCTCTATTGACCAAAAGTTAATCCCAAAAGCTCTCAGATGTCCAATTATCCAAATAAAAGTAGTTGATTCTGGAATGTCCCCATTGAGGCTTGGTCCTTAGCTGGGCACCAATGGAAACTTTTAGGAGATAGAGCTGAGTGGGAAGCCTTAGTCATGGGGGTGTGTCCTGGAAACTTCTGTGAGATCTCTTTCTCTCACTTTATTGTTTCCTGGCCACCACAGATGAGCAACTTGCTCCACCACACACACCTCAGCATGAAGTACTGTTTCACCACGGTCCCAAAGTAAAGGGACTAAGCAGTCATGGACTAAAACCTCTAAAACTGAGCCAAAATAAGCTCTTCTACTTTTTAAGGTTGATTATCTCAGGTATTTTGTTATAGTAATGAAAAGCTATCTAACAAGACACATTTTCAGTTTTAGAAAATGATAGTCCACTGAAACCTCTAGCAGCATGGAAACATGTTCATGAACAGGAAATAAATTAAAAAGCAGGAAACAAAATTCTATTATAGTAAAAACTTGACTATGTTCAACTGTGTTAAATGAATGTATAGGAAAAAAAAAGCAAAGCACACAAACATTTCGGCAATAATACAGGTGTTATTTCTCTCTTTTTAAAAGCTTTAATAATTTTTCAGAAACACACATTTTTAATTGATGGCCTCTTATATTCACCCTCTATTTTCTCAAGAATACATCAAAACCAGGGTACTCCACTCATCCATAAAGATGGATCTTTCTAAGAACAGAGGTTTTTAAGAGTTAGCTCACATGACTGAGGCTGATTTTCTTTCCACTGGGCTGCAGTATCAAGATCACTCTGCACTACAAAGAGAAGTGAACCCCTCTGTCCATAACACTAGGGAAACATCTCTCCAGCACTGCCTCGTTTGCCTTCTGCTTTTTCTCTAGCAGTGATGGATGTGTCAGTTCATCCCTCAAGTGGTCATATCTGCAGACCTGCACAGGACTCTGAGATAGAGAAGAAGCTGGTGTCTGGTTCAGGCTACTTTGGTTTCCTGGCATTAAGAAAATATGCCTTCCATGGAATCCGTCCTAGCTCTCCCGTTCTACAGTGGGGCCAAAGCCCCAGAGTATCGCTCTATCTCACCCTGCTGGTTACTGCTCAGTCCCGCGCTCCCCCTGCCCTCTATCTTGGACATTAGGACAGAATGAAAGCAACATATGGTATTGCCAGGTTTTAAAGTAATGATACCACACAATAGCTACCTAATGATGTCTTATCTAATATTCCTAATCGTATCAAAGGGGGGGAAATAATTTATTTTCTATTTCTAGGACAGAAAAGCATATCACCACTCTAGAATGTTTTCAAAAGAAGGGTCTGCGAAAGGACGAAGAACAATGCACATTTACATATCGTCTTTGTCTTTGCTAACTGAAGGAAGTTTACCATAAAAAACTAAGGAGAAAA